TAAGAAAAGAAAGAAAGAAAATGTTAGTTAGAAAAGTTAGTGAGAGGGGGCTAGGAAGGTGGCTCAGTGGTAGAGTGCTTGCCTCACATGCATGAGGCCCTGGGCTCCATTCCTCAGTACCACATAAACAGAAAAAGCTGGAAGTGGAGCTGTGGCTCAAGTGGTAGAATGCCAGCCTTGATTGAATATATCTATATCTGTGTGTGTGTGTGTGTGTGTGTGCATATATACATGTGTACATATGTATACTACATAAAATAGATATCAGATATTGATTTTTTAAAATAAAACACTGCCATACAGGAATGAAAACACAAGAGATCACACAAAATATTTTTCTTAAAGCTGAATTTTTAAAATTCAGTGAAAGGATTGAAATCTCTCTCTTTTTTTAATATATGAGACTTTCCTCAACATCCTATTGGAAGCTAAACCTTAAAAACAAAAAAAAAATCAAAAAAAAAAAAAACGCCTTCAGGCCAGGCGCCAGTTGCTCACGCCTGTAACCCTAGCTACTCAGGAGGCTGAGATCTGAGGATCACGGTTCAAAGCCAGACCAGGCAGGAAAGACCGTGAGACTCCTATCTCCAATAAACCACTAGAAAACCGGAAGTGGCGCTGCAGCTCAAGTGGAAGAGCGCTCGCCTTGAGCTGAAGAGCTGACGAACAGTGCCCAAACCCAGAGTTCAAGCCCCATGACCAACAAAAAACAAAACAAAACAAAAACAACAACAACAAAACCACCTTCAAGTTTTTAAGGGAAAATGAATTCCAATACAGAAACCTCTCAGTGGCAAAACAGTCAAGTGTGAGGGTCAAAATAAAATCCAAACATGTAGTTCTTATACACTCCTTCACAGTACTGCTGATACAGAGAGAGACAGAGAGAGTAAACAAAAAGGAGGGCATGAGAACTAGAAAAAAAGGAATGCAGCAAAATTGGAAACCATCTTCAGAGTGCCAATCAGCTAAGCAAAGTCCCAAGGTGATATTTACATACCAGGCCTTAAGCGGAAACAATGCAGAAGGAAGCAGGAAGGACAGCTACTGATGACTTGTCTACAGGAACAAACGGAACTGATAAGTTTGACAGATTTGCCACTGTGGAAAATTGTACTGACAATCATTTCAATACATGTTTGGTTGGGGTTTTTTGTTTGGTTTTGAGACAGATCTACTAAGTAGCTCAGACTGGTCCTATCTTTGGTCTCAGCTCCTTCCACATGCTGAGTCTATGGGCATGCATGTGCAAACACATCCAAGATCACATTTTTCAATTCAAAAATATAATCAGTGTTAAAGGAAAATAAATTGCTTTAGCAGCTTACCTGTATAAACACAAAACTTAGTTATTTACTAGTTTTAGAAATCTAGCCAGAAGCCGGGCACCGGTGGCTCACACCTGGAATCCTAGCTACTCAGGAGGCTGAGAACTGACGATTGTGGTTCAAAGCCAGCCCAGACAGGCAAGTCTGTGAGACTCTTACCTCCAATAAACCACCAGAAAACCAGAAGTGGAGGTGTGGCTCAAGTGGTAGAGCGCTTGCCTTGAGATGAAGAGATGAGGGACAGCGCCCTGGCCCACAGTTCAAGCCCCACGACTAACAAAAAAAGAAAGAAAGAAAGAAAGAAAGAAATCTGGCCAGATATTGTGAGATAAGCCTAGTAAGTGGATCTTGAGTTCAAGGCCCTCTGAGGCTACAAAGGGAGACTCAAACGTCAAAAAAGAAAAAGACTAAAATTTAAATTTAAAAGTTCTACACTTTCTTTTTTGCCAGTCCTGAGCCTTGAACACAGGGCCTGGACACTGTCCCTAAGCTTCATTTGCTCAAAGCTAGCATTCTACCAATTGAACCACAGCACTACTTCTGGCTTTTATGTGGTACTGAGGAATTGAACGCAGAGCTTCATGTATACTAGGCAAACACTCTACCACTAAGCCACATTCCCAGACCCAAATTCTATACTTTTTTTAAGAATCAAATTCACTATACTCAATGGCTCAGACTATCACACAAGACAGCTTTAGAGATTTAAGCATTTAATGGGTCTAGACAAGCATATTTTTATACTTTTCTTGTTTATCCTTCTCAGCTTTCAAATTTACTGTAAGTGATCCTTCCTCTATCAGGACTGACTCATCCTTTGTTATAGGGTTAAAAAAATTAATAAAAATACTTTAGACTCAACCTGCCCAAACCCTTTCATACATACGTGCTTTCATTTAATCTGTGTACTTTGTTACAATGATACTCAATTGGAAACCAAAGCAGTTCTAAGGGATTAAAAAAAAAAAAAACATGCTAAGCAAATACAGGAGCTTAAATGATGGAAATGGAGGTGACCAGTTCTGAGAGATATCTATGGCCACTTTTGCTTTGCTGAAACTCTTTTCCTTGTTTAAATGGCTTTATAGCTAACTTTCTGTTCTGAGTGAGATTGTCCAGGAAGTGGTACAGTAGCTCAAGTGGTAGAACGCTAGCCTTGAGCTGAAGAGCTGAAGGACAGTGCTGAGACCCAGAGTTCAAGTCCCATGACTGACCAAAAAAAAAACCAAGAAAAAACCCTGAGTGAGATTGTTCAATCAATAAGCTACAGATAACTGAGTTGTGCAGCCAATTCACAGCTATCAAACACATGATCATCCACTAAGATTTTTACAATAATCACAGACACATATTACAGATTAAGACTCGTATACTTGCAATTATATCTACAATAAAGGCACACATCTAATCTCATTTTTTAACTAGCTAAAACAGAGCCTCAACTCAGATCCAAGTTGTAGGGGGATATGATTTTTCCCAAAAGAAAAATATTTTCATCATTAAACTTACCATAATGATATTGAAAAGCATTATTTTTTACTTCCAGTCCTTTTGTTGGTTGTGGGGCTTAAACTCTGGGCCTGGGTGCTGTCCCTGAGTTCTTCAGCTCAAGACTAGCGTTCTACCACTTAAGTCCCAGTGCCACTTCCGGTTTTCTGGTGGCTAACTGGAGCTAAGAGTCTCTGGGAACTTCCTGCCTGGGGGAACTCTGAACCATGATCCTCAAATCTCAGCCTCCAAAGTAGCTAGGATTACAGGTGTGAGCCACTGGCCCCAACTTTTCAAGTTCTTTATCAATAGAACAGCATTTCTGTCCAAAAAAACCCCAAAAAAGTTAAAACCTTATGAGAGTAAATATCTAATCACTAAAATCCTCACCGATCATGGGAAAATACCTTCCCACACCTTAATGACAAAGCATGTACCCCCTCAAAGAAGAAATTACAAATATAATTTAAAAGACTATTAAATATTCCTCACAATGGGTGTCTCATAGCTATAATCCTAGCTACTCAGGAAGCTAATATTTGAGGATGGCAGCTCAAAGCCAGCCTGGGCAGAAAAGCTCCTGAGACTTTTTTTTTTTGCCAGTCTTGGGGCTTGAACTCAGGGCCTGAGCACTGTCCCTGAGCTCCTTTTGGTCAAGGCTAGCATTCTATCACTTGAACCACAGCACCACTTCTGGCTTTTTGTGTTCATGTGGTACTGAGGAATTGAACCCAGGGCTTCATGCATGCTAGGCAAGCACTCTACCACTAAGCCACATTCCCAGCCCCTGTGAGACTCCAATTCACCACTCAAAAACTGGAAGTGGAGCTGTGACTCAAAGCACAGGGAGTATGGCCAGGCCCTGTGTTCAAGCCCTACAGACAGGCAAAAAAAAAAAAAAAAAAATTCTCCCTAACAACCATTTTACTATGAAAGCCATTTTGCATAGTCCACATTGTTTAAAGCCAGAATTTCTTTTTCCTTAGGGCTCATTTTTTTCAGTCATTGTAATACATTGTCAAGGAAATATCCACATTCACTCCCTCCCAAGACTCGGGAACACAAATGTACAAACAAGAGTCATACAAAGCTGCACATGAATAGAAATCCAGGCCCTTAGAACTTAAAAATTTTCGATTTAACTATTAAAACAAATAGCTTTAAAATACTAACCACCCAAAATTCCTGAGTAAAGAAGCATAAATTCCATCCTCAAAATTACTTTTGTTCTAGATATTCACACACAGGTGAAAAGAGGATATTCTTAGGAAAGAAACACAAGGGCACAATGCCTAATATATATATATATATATATATATATCAAAGCAAACTAAAAAACAACAACAAAAACACTTTCACAGTAATGCTTTCCAAAGCTGAGATATTTGTAGGTACACAGTACAAGAGTTCCTGATTGCTGCCTTGGCTTATATGTCGAAGGTTTCCTATACTAACACCAAGGAAGAAATAACACTGTTGTTACATATTCGCGTGTAGTTTTTTTTTTTCCATTGTGAAAAAGTCAACGACTCCAAAGATTTTTTTCATGATCTAAACTACAATTTCATCAGCAATACTAAAACTACTTGACACTTTACTTTTTTCCCACCCTAAAACAAAGCAAAACAGAAAGATTTTATTTCACTGTGTAGCAATGCATATTTATAATTTTAAAAAAGCTTGTGATCTCATAAAGATCCACCAGTCTACATGTGGTCAGAACATTATGTACCTACAATAGGTAGGTATTTAGAAGAAATCTTATCTCAAAAAATTATGAGTAACCTGCATTTAAAAGGAAAGCTGAGAACACATTCTGTCTGATGCTTAAAACGTTTTACACTCATTTGAGTGGGCCAAAAAAAAAATATCAAAGCTCCTGACTACAGTCACTTGCTGAAGGGGGGGGAGGTGGACTGGAGGAATATGGCTGAAAATTCTTCTGAAGGGTGGTCTTTCAAAAAGGACCACTCAAAACACTTAGGAATATAGGGCAAAGAGAGCCCTAGAGGGTCGTGTCTTAGCCGACAGCACACTAGCTGCCCAACATGCTACCTTATTTCCCTAATAGGGATGAAATGCTCAGGCCTCCAGTGGCTACCAGCTGGCGCCAATATGCTACACACACACACGCACACACACATACACGCGCACACACGCGCGCACACACATACACACACACACCACTCTTTTTCATTTTCTCACACGATTTTTCGGATGCTGCAGACTGGGTCACAAACAAATTCCCGTGATCGCGTCTGAAGAGTTTAATAATCAATCAAGCATCTCTTAAAAAACCAACACCCACAAACATCCCTTCCCCGCACCTACTTCTCTCCCACCTCCCCAACCCCATCGAGGACGGTCCTCCTCTCGATTTCTACAAATCCTACAGCGCATTGACTGGGAGGACCCCCCCCCGCGCCCCCCGCGCGCCTCGGTCGGAGTTCCCACCCTGCTCTCTTCCCCGCAACCAGAAATTACAGGCTCCATTTCCGGCCGCCCCCGGGGACTGCAAAATCATCACCGGCCGGGAACCGGACGCCTCCCGGCCCCTCGGGGCAGCCGCACGCGGCCGCCGCGCTCGCTCCCCCCCTGCACC